GGGAGGGGAGGGAGGTAGCTGATGTGAGACGTGGTGTTTTCCACTGCCACGGTGTGATCGTAGAAACTGTGTCAGAGCAGTTACTTAAACTAAATGCAGGTTAGACTGAAGATGAATAACGAAAGCTTTTAGTACTACCCCTTAATGTTATCATACACAACCAGGTTAGTGATATTAACATCCTGTTTTTAGTCTGCCCCTCCTGAGTCAACGAAAGATCACACACCTCAAGTAACTATTACTCATACAATTCTTTCAATGTTAAGTATTTCATAAGGAGAAATCTGCTTCTTATGGTCCCAGAGTCTACTGTTCAAACATTAAAATAATCAAACTTTTCAGAATTAACTCATGTATTTGCATTCCATTTGTCCTCTCCACTCTGCTGTAGGCGAGCTCACCTTTGCCGAGCGGCGGGCAGAGGACTGGAGGAGATGCGTGCACGCACACACGCACACACACACACACACACACACACAGATATACACACATCCAGTGGTAAGGCAAGATAAGAGATTAGAAGCACGTAAGAAGCATTTGCTGTTAGTTTTGTATTCACAGATCATTACTTTAATACAGCATATGGTCAAAAGCACTGGGCCATGAATCTTTGAATTCAGGTGTATTAACTCAAGTCCCCAGCCATGCAGCCTGCCTTTACAAGCATTTATGAAGGAATGGGTCGTTCTAAAGCACTTGCTGAATTTTAGCGTATACTGTAACAGGGTGCCACCACTGCAACAAGTCAGTCTGTGAAATTTCTTCCCTCGAAAATCTGCAAAAACTGGAAATGTTCTGAAATTAACTTCAGCAACTCAGTCATAGCTTGGCACACCACCAAAGTTAAGGAGCAGGCGAGCCAAGTGCTGAGACACACAGTGCATAAAAGCCACAAACTATCTACCGACTCTAAAACTGCAAGGTTCCAAACTTTCTCTGGCATCAACATCAAACTGGGTTTCCACAGTTTCCATGGTCGAGCAGCTGCTGTCGGTGTAATGTGTAGGTGGCCCAGTACTTTTGTCCACATAGTGTAGCTGCATGCACCATTTAAAATCATCAAGAGCAAAGTTAATCTTGAGAGATCACAGGGACACGAAAAAACTGAGATCATGCAACAATGTAAAACTGAAAAAAAAGAATTCATTGAATTATGACACAAAGAGAACTGACATGAACAGCATCAGGAGAACCTGAAACTGTCACCGTGTTGTCGTCTACGCATGTACACGAAATGCCTTCACCAGAATAAATTAAAAAAAAAAAAAAGCTTAATGAAAGTAAAGTGGGGAAACCAAAAGAGAATGCACTGAAAATGGCACCTATCACAAGTTATGTCTTTATGACCCATGCAAATGTCAACAGATAAAGAGCTTAAGTGCAAAAAGATGAACTGCTGCATTAGCACGAGTATAACGCAGACCAAGCAAACGTGCTGAATTTAAATATAGCTCTACCTTTTTAATGCTCGCTGGTTGCTGAAAGAGGTATCCAGAAAAACAAAACATGAGAATTCAGCCCAGCAGCTGAGAGCCGAAACAAACAACATGGCATCATAAAGGAGGAAAAAAACCAAAACTAAAAAACAACAACAAACGGCTGGTCTGCAACGAATGTCACAACTAGTGGGGTCAAACTGATCACATTTTAATAACAACTCTCACAATTAAAATTTTAAATTTAGGGGTTATTTGGATGTTTGTTTAATCCAAAGTACATGCACCAATATTAAAAACCAAGTAACCGACTTGTCGCATTTTTACTTAATTGACAAATTAAAAAAAGTGAGATCAAAAATGTGTTTGCCTACCTGTTTGCTTGTTTTGGGAGTTTCAGGGATGTCTAGAAAAAAATAATTAAATAATTTATTGCACACTCTTGTTATCAATACTTTGCATTATATTTTAGAAACGTGAGTATCAGTTGTGGTCCTTGCTCACCTTTTTGCTTAAGTGTCTTTGCTGTTCCAGACTCAGGGGTATCTGGTGAGGTGGCACTGGAGCCATCTTCTACCACCTGGATCTGTACAATGGAACAAAAGTGTGTAATCAGGACAACATTCGAAAAAACACAAACAAATTACAAAGCTTGATTTTGAATAATGAACAAATACGGACAGAAAACTGAAGAAAAGTTGAGAATAAAAGATGTCAGTCTGCCACATTTGTACATTTATTATGTCATCTGCCTGTTTGGATCTTTACAGTTCAGTGCTGATGCCATAACACCATCATCAGTTCCTCTTGTGCCCACTAACCTGGGACTGCCTGACGAATATGCCGTGATTTTCCTCACAGGTGAAGTAGCGTTTGCCCTGCACGGTGCCATCGTTCTTGCCTTTCGGCTCATCCAGTATGACACCCACCCATTTCCCAGAAGCAAAGAGGGTAGCGCCAATGTAGGCAACAGTGCCGCGCTGACCCTTTCCTGTCACCTCGACTATAGAGCCAATCTGGGAGACAAAAAGTGGATAAAAATTCTTTGAGTTATAAGCCATGTTATTCCTTCCTTTGTTATGTCTGCATAGAAAAAGGACCCACCTTTGGAGGTTTACTACTCTCCACTGTTCCTGTGCTGCTCATTCTGCTGATCAGTGGGCTGGTCAGCTGAAGATACAGGTAAAGAGAAAGAGGTGAAAGGGTGGATAAACAATAATAAATAAGGAGTACAATGGGGGGAAGGAAAGAGACAATAAATAAGGAAGCCAAAGTTATGAAACACTAGAGAATTTATTGTTTATATTTAAGAATTCCAAAGTACCATCATTCTCCTCGCTTTAGCCTTTAACATCAAGTCTTAGGAATCGAAAATATTCAATGACAAAACAGCCCTGAGGCTGCACAGCAAAGAAGCATACTTGCAGCCAGTCATATGGTGCGGACTACAATAAACAAGCAAGTATCTCTGCCTTGCTCAGACAAAGGCACACATTGAAGACAAACTGGGACTGTGGTAAGAGTCTAATCCTTTTATAGAGATGTACAAGCATGTGAATCCATGCTATCTTAGTTTGAACCACAGGGCAGGATAAATCAGAAGAGGTTTAATATTTCTGGGACAGAGGATTATACTCACTAAAACAAGACGGCGAATGAAAATAATTCACCTACCGATTCATTGGTTTTAGACAGACAGACCTTTTAAAAATCTACTTATGTGGTAAATATTAAGACAATAATGTTATTCTCATCGACAGGTCTGTCTATACTTTTTTATAAATTACTAAAAATACATATCAACTCTGATGAAGCCAATAGATGTGGATGGATCGCACATCGACATTATGGTGAGTCTCTCAAATCCTTACTCCTTAGCATTATAGTGCAATAATTCACTGTTACTTTTCAAATTGGTTAATCAAAAATTATCACTGTCGTATTAATTTCAGCATTATTTGCTGTTAAGTACTCATGTTACTCACCCTGGGAGTGTAAGAGTGACGTCTGTTCAAAGCCATAATTAAAGGTTAATACGGTTTCACTGCAGCCGAAAGAAGACTCAACTTTTTCTCTACTTCCCCATGCTCTCCTCTTTTTCAGAGAGGGGAGGATAACACAAGAGTGCGATTACAGGGAGGGATCACAAAACGTCACAGCTGATTTGAACTGAGAGATGGAGGGTAATATTTAACCAGCTGAGACTTGGATGTTGGTTACTTTAAGGACCCATTCAAACAGCTATGAGATCAACTCTTCATTAATCTGATTTACTGCAGCTAAATGTACATGACATTCAAGTGAGACGTATGAAAACACACAAAAAGGTCTGTTTTATTACTTTTAGCCATTATTCCCATTCATTTCACATAATATCAACCCATGGTATTTGCAAGACTAGTACATGCTAACAATAAACAAGTTAAAGATTGGGGTGGGTCACAGGTGACACACACAGGCTAACGATTACTTCCGGTCGAACTGTTGCTCAGAGGGTCGAATACTAAATAAGCTACTTTACAGGTTTATTTAAACTAAGAAGCAACAAGTCAGATACGCACTTGCAAAAAGTAAATGCATCCAAAGAAAGTCAAAGGCTTGAGCCAAAACAATAATGACAAAGTACTCAATGACTCAATGGGGACAAATGTCCCGACACACAATTATGCTAATTCTACTTTAATGTTGACTCTTTACACCAAACCACTTTTAAATGCTATCTATGTACCACGTCGTAACAAATTATTTAGAACAGCTTTACAAAGCCCTATACTCTGACTAGCCAAAACGGTTTGAAACATTAGCAACAGGCTAAAGTCCGAGAGAAAGGCGCTGTTAAACAGCTAACATGACACAGGTGTATTTTGTAATGCAACTCACCTGATATATGCAGATTCCTGTCTTTAAATTAAGCCTTTTGATGTATTCATGCAAATAATAATCCTCTGGTGTTTTTGGATAAATAGCTTACGGATCCGGCGAGCTTTTCCGTTTTTGACAGGTCACTTCCGGCAACCTGACAGACTAAAAGAAGAAGAAATGGGAGAAATAGCGCCCCTATATATATAGCGCCCCTCGTGGCTGGTAAATTCTGTTTGCAATGAAAACACCCAGTTTATGCGGTTACGAAAAAACACGGTACAATACAAGAATGGGATTTGCTGTTGGTTTACTGAGATTTCAATTAAAAAATGTGGCGGTTAAAAACCACATCATCACATTTTACAGGGGAGGCAAATAAGTAGTCAGATTGTTTTACAGTTTGGTTTGACAATTAATACACTAGTCTAATTGTGCTATATTAGTAATAAGTTAAAATTAAAAGAAAGGATACATTAAATTGGCCGGGGGAGAGAACTCTCTTCTGTTCTTGTTATTATTATTTTTTTTTATTTTGGGTTGATCACTTATTACACAGATCTGTGTTACAGTAACACGAAGGCCCTTCATGCGGTATTACGCACGCACACACACAACCGTTTTGGTGTGGATGTATCGGGTCCCTGGATGCGTATTGACGTGTAATTATCCAGAGGCCTATGCGCAGCCGACCAATCAGGTGGCGGAGGAGAGGCTGTGCCTGCCGGCCGGCACACACCGGGAACGAAGCCAACCCCCGTGGCGGTGACAGCGCCACAGCGACTGGACCAGGTCCCGACTTCACCACCTCGTCTGTGCAGAGCAAGGTAGACTGTTCTGGTAGCTTTTAGAATAACTTTCGTGGGGCTTAAAAAGTTTAACTCCTGATAAAGCTTGGCCGGTGCTGTTTGTTTTGTTTTTTTGGGGTGGCTACTCCCGGATTTGATGGTTGAAAAGTTTTCAATCGGGCTTGCAAACCTTCTTTCCGGCAGCGACTTTCAAAATTAAAGCTATTGTTAGTCATTTGCCTTGGGAAAGGTAACCGGTGTATCGCGGTTGTCTTATTATGAAGGCGAGATTTATGTAGTTCCGGTAATTTCACGTCGCTTTTTAACTAACTCGACGTAGCCGCTGTCCCGGCTTTGGTAGGAGGATTTAACTCGATTTTGCGCGCAGTATGGTCGCGTAAGCGGGCTATTTACCGGGTCCGGTATGCTCTGTTGGTGTGATTGTATTTTTTCAGAGCCACTTAAGCACAGTTTTTGCTCATGAAACTCATAAAGGCAGAAAAAGTTAAAGCAAATAGTTTTGTCCCGATGGAGGGTGTGGAGTTAAAGTGTGACACGTTACGTCATTCATCCCTCTCCCGTCTGCTGTCTGCGCTGCTCAGAGTGGCCATATCAACAAGTGGCCTAAAGCCATCTCATTCTGAAATAGTCTGATACTTTAACTTCATCCTGCTCCAGTTCCACCACCTTCTTCGTCACGGTACTACCTGAACGGATAAATATATTTAGAAATACTTTAATTTGAAAAACTGATTTTTCGGGGACCAATTTCGAAAGAAGATCAGATATCGTGTGTTTCCCAAAGTGCAAAGTTGACGCTTTCCGAGTGTGCCCGATCTCGCGTATTCCTAAATTTTAGTCATTGTAATTTTTTAAGGGGCAAGTTGAGGATTTCCACTTGTTTACACTCCAGTGTGTCCGGTGAGACCCCTAATTCTGCTTTCAGGGTGTGTCTCCATGTCGGTCAGAAGCGAGAGTTGATACCAAATGCTTGTTGAAACCTAAAGTTTTCGTTTTACTTTTGCCTAAAGTTCGAAAGGGAGCAGCTCTGTATGTTTCAATTCCGCTGCAGGGCGCTTTAGTTTGGAAACCGAAAGCATTTTTGTGCAGAGATGGAATGTAACAGCCTTTTTCAAAATAAAAACACAAACAAGAGGAGCTCTTTGCTGTATTTACTGTATTTTTCAAAAGCAGGTTTTTATATACATTTGCTTGCTTTGGTCATGGATGGTTTTTATGCCTAAAAGAAAAAGCAAATACTCTACTGATACTATGACTTCAGAATTCAGTTGCAGTTTTAGTCTGCAACAGAGATTTAGATTGATCTGAATACACTGTTTGTTTCTTGAAATCTGATCAACACTTCATGAAAACTTGCCTAACCAGTCCTTCATTGACCTACAGCGTAAACCCAGCCTGTGTGGACATTAGTATGGGTTTGCGTCATTATCAGAATAAAAGATTTCAGAAGTGAAGTGTTTAAAAAGTTGCGTTTTGGGTTTGTTTTTGTGTTTTTTTCTTCAGATGGCTGATGCGGAGGTGGCAAAAAAAATGCTGCGGGGCATCCTGCAGTCCAACAAAGGTGGAGTGTCATTGTCACACCTGCAGTCAGAGTATAAGGAGCTGACTGGGGAGCACATACCACATAAGCAGATGGGACACAGCAACCTGGATGCTCTTCTAGCCAGCATGCCATCTTTAGTCCGCATGGAGCGCAGCCGCTCGGGAGAGGTGTGTGCCGATGTGCTTCACATAAGCGGCGATGGATGATATATATTTTTCTGCTTTCTTTCTTTAAACACGTCATCGGTAGATTGTTACATTGTGTGATGTGCATTACGCCTGCAGGGTTTAACCATGTTTACATTACACTAGAGCACGACTGCATGCTTGTTGCATTCTCTATTTCCAGGTGGTTTGTTTTGCCTCAGGGGCCAAGGAGACAGGTCATCTAGCCAAGGTGGTGGCTCGTCAGCGCACATCCAAGAAGACGGGTCGACCTCACCTTGTCAACACCCAGATGAGGGTCAAACCAGCTGCCCCGCTTGTCCTCAATGGTAAAAAAAATGTAAAAAAATAAAAAATTTGGGACCCGTACAGGGATGTCCACGTCAGCATATTCATAATGAATGTGTGTTGATCAGTTAATTAGCTCATTTGTTAGTAAAAGGAGAGGATTAGGTGCTGCTTATACTCTGCCTAGAGGTGGGCCTCCAGGTCGTGGGATGAAGTCAGAGAACGAGTAACATCAGACGTGGTAACAGGAAAGCTAATCAGAAACTTCTTTTTGGAAGAATGAGTGGACATTCGATGAGCAGGTCTGAGCTCCAGCTTCCACAAATACTTTGACTGCTCTGCTGCTGATAAAGAAGGTCCAAACAATCCTTAAATCCAAAGGTTACTGTTTTTCTTCCTTCAATCGTATGACTCTTTGATAAAGAAACAGAAGCATAGATTTGTTAATAGATTATTAGCTTTCAAGTACATCTTTGTTTATGCATGACCATTTTAGACAAACTGGCAAATATTTTCATTCAAAGTTCTGCTATGTTTTTCTATTTTGCTGGTGTTATGTTTAAGTTCCGATGCATTTGACCTCCCTGGGCCAACATAGAAAACAGTAACTGGAGACCGCAGCACGACCCAAATTATTCGGACCATGTGCAGTCAACTCACGATCTCTTTACCCTCTGAAATGCGCACTTCACAGGAAGCGGCGAGGCATCCTCTTGCAGTCAGTTGCCATCTTCATACGTATCTACATCAGAAGAGTCAGGGGTGTGCTCACAGTCAGCAGGCTGCAGGAGAATAAATATGTGAATGATATACAGCTGAACTGATATGTTAGAAATTGCTTTGGACTTTTTGTGGGTCCTGAGGATTGAGACTCAGATGGAGCGCAGGCTTTATTCAGAGATAAATGTATGCATTTCATACAGAAATAAAATCTGCAGTGCTCAACAGATTTGATAAACCACCTGTGATAAAAACAAGAAAACACAAAAATGTTAAAAAACTTGTTTAAAAGTAAAAGTTGCTGAATTCACTGAACTGAATTTCTGTTTGTATACCCATATTTGAACTGGCAGACTGGACTTTTCTGAGAAGTCAGACGTTAATCAATCATAGCATTCAACCACTAAAACTAATTCTTCAGTTAAGGTGTGCAGGTAAATAACTGCGATAACTTTAGAAAAAATATATATTTCACTGTTTTTTTTTAGCTTTTTTGTTAATTGGCAAATTTGAACATACATGGATAACTACAATAATTATTTTTTAGCATTAACAATATTTTGATTGAAGAGCTTCTGTATACTTGCAGATGAACCATTAACGAAAGTATTTTGGTAATTATCAGTAAGGCTGATTTAGGGCAATGTAGATACCGTTACTGTGACACATGCGTAAATGTGCCTGACGCTCTGGGTTTTTCGGCAGTGTGTGAAACTAAACCAGAGCTATGCACCAGGGCTGCTGTCACACAACCTGGCTTTACAACTGATGGGCTGATAGAGAAGAGCAGCCACACTGCTGCCTGAAAAGGTCAACTCGAACCTGACCATCATTCATAGTTAGAACTTGCGGTTCATAATGTTGTAAAACACATCACAGACTGAAAACATTTTACATATTTATTAACTCTCAAAGTCTGCTGTTGTCAGTAATTCAAAAAGTTTATAGTTCATATTACATTTCAAAGTTAATTGGCACAGCTCGCCAAATGGCACTAAGAGGAATTTAACTGTTTATATTGCTGCGTTCGATTGAAAGTGTCTGAAGAAGAGAGCATGAGACTGGAATTGTTGCACATGTTAATTTAACTATAACTCTAACATACTTATATTCAGACATTAATGGAACACACTTAACAAGTCTGAGACTTGTAATCGTGCTCACTGACGGGAAGTAAAAGGAAGAAAGAAACATGAATGTTGTTCTCTGTGTGCGCACTGCTGAGAAAGGACAGGGAGACGTGTTTTTATTCTGCTCACTGTAAAAAGTTAAACAAGATGTATCCTCATATGCACTGGCATTTTTCCCTCCCTCTGACTCTCCATCAGGTTCAGTTCAGAGTAAAACTCCAAGTATTTATTGTTTTGCAGTCATTGCAGGAGCATGAATATGTGGAGCTCGGCTAGAAAAAGCGATTGAAGACTGAGTGAATTACATCACAAAACTGAACATGTGTTAGCATAAACAACCTAGAGATTGGACGTTGTTGTATTGTTGTAGAATATCCACCCTAATGTTGCAGTTTTCCTCAAAATCAAAGAAAAAACACTTTTCAGAGATAAACTGAGAGCTCGATTTGGTAAGTGAGCCATTTAGTGGAGCCATCTGCTGTGTAAAAGCCCGATGACGATGACGGAGCAGTTTTGTAGTACCCAAACTTTCACATTTTCACACAACAAAAAGGAGCTTTTCCAGACTCCTCTAGCGCTACAGTGCAGCAGTGCTGCTGCAGCAGCATAGAAACAGAAGTGGTGTTCAGTGTCTATCTCAGTGCTGTGACAATGCAAAATGCAAATGCTTTATGTGCTGCAGCCTCACAGTTTGTAGATGAACAGCTGCCCTGTTTAACTGCCCTTCTGTGGAGACCTGCTCATCCTTTAGGTACTAAGGATATCTCACACACTCAGACAAGCAGCTCCACAGTATTCAGGGCTGCACGCGAGCATCAGGTGCACCGAGATCTCAGCCCGTATACATCCTTACTGCGTGTCCGCAAACATTTCTGAACTTTTATTTATCGTTTTGCATTCACACACACACACTTGCACTAAAACATTTACAGTGCACACACCTCTGCTAGACTGTGATGCTGCAGGATATTCTGAGAGCCAGAGGAGGAAGTGGGAGGTGGTAGTGCAGGGAGGAGAAAGAGAGAGAGGGAGACAAAGGAGTAGAGGAGAGAGAAAGAGTGGCAGTGAGACGGTTGGAGGAGAAGAAAGATGGAGGGATGGTGAAATGGTAAGGAGACAAGGAAGGAAGGAGTCAAAAAAGGAGAGAGAGAGGGAGGGAGAGGAGGATGTTGAAATCTGAGGCTAACACGGTCTGAAGCAGCTGAGAGTCAGCTGCAAGCGAGGAGACGCTGATTCACAAATCAAGCTCTCTCTTCCCCACGCACATGCACCCTCTCCTTCTCTCCTCCCCGCTTGGGTTATTATTATTCAGGCAGAGACAGACCAGGGACTGTGTGTCCATGCCGGTGAGGTGATGCAGCGTCTGCTCTTAGTGTTGGTGTGTATGTTTGTGGGTGTTTGTCCTTGACTGTATCTGCATGTGGATTTATGCTTATGCCTGCTGGGTTTCTCTAATGTGTGTGTGTGTGTGTGTGTGTGTGTGTGTGTGTGTGTGTGTGTGTGTGTGTGTGTGTGTGTGTATAGTTCAGTGATTTATTAACTGGCTGATTTATTAATTGACTGAGTGCCAGTGGCCAATAGGATGTCCACAGAATAGATTTAGATGCGGGAATTGCCTGCTGATGACTTTTGAAGTCAGTGGCTGATGAAGGAGCTCTTTTCTCTCAATAGAAATTGTGGCGATTCAGTGAGAACAGAGTGAATAAGAAAGCAGGAGAAAGTTCTGGATCTCGCAGAGAAGCAAAGAGATTGAGAAGAAAGAGTGGAGATAAAAGAAGAGTCAGTGTGAGGAAGAAATGAAAAGGACAGAGTGTGGGAGTGTAAATGACTAAGGGTTATGCACAGGAGGTATACTGGTGAGGTCATCGCGCAGAAATGTGATGTCAGGACAAATGTGAATGGTGTAACTCTGACTTTCCATCTTTCTGCTGGATAAACAGGGACTGTAATGGATTACAATTACTGGATTTATACTCACATCAGACTAATCCTGACGTTTTTTGTTACATGTACCTCCAGTCTTAAACTAAACATATACGGCATACAGTTGAACTTGTGTTTCACCTTAGCTGTGCCAGTTGAAAGGAATAAACTTTGTTTTCCGTAATCGCTTCAAGCTAAATGAGGCATCAGTTTAATAACTGGTGCACTACAGCCATGTGTCGGTTATCTTAACTGAACATAAAGACTGGAAGCAAGTGGAAACACCTGGACTTGCTCCTTTTAGATTTTAAAAGCACATCAGCTCTGCAGGCCTGAAGGCTTCTTTCAGGCCTGGGTGACATAAATGCCTGTTTTTTGTGACCACGTGGACTTTTTACAGTAGAACGCAACAACTGCAAGGATTTCAGGCACACTGTCCATGTCCTAGAATCAGGTTTAGCTTAGTTAGGTTGTGTGTGTGTTTGTGTTCTTGCACTTGTATTCACTTCAAGTCCATAACTTTATTTTTTTTTTTCGTGTTTGCTTTCTCTCTCTCCACAGCCAAACCTCAAAACTCTCTGAGGCAACCGAACCACCGTGGCCGAGGTGGGGGTAGAGGAGGAGGCCCTGGCCGTGGGGCTGGACATGGAGACTTCAGACAGGCAAGAGACTTAAGGGATGGCCCATCAGAGGGCAAGACTGGGGGGCATCCGAACACGATGTCCAGTCAGAACACATCCAACAGGAAAGGAAACCAACCTCCAGACAAGTGAGTAAAGCAATTTGGATTTGGATGAGAGTGAGTAGATCCAGCGGGAAGGTTGAGAAGAGCGGTGTTTCACTTTTCAGATTGTCAGTTAAGTTTATTTATTTGATTAGATGATATAAAATGCCCTCAATAGCAAAATCCAGTCTTTGGAACTGGACAAAAGAGTGAAAAATTCTTTAGGGTTTCACTATGAAAAGATCTAGTTAGGCTCACACCCTTCAACCCCACCTCCACATATTTGTGGAGGGGTTTTTGTACACTTACATGCATCAGTCATCAAGCAGACTTCCACAGTCCTTTGGAAACCCATGTAGAGTAATGAGCCACAGGCAGCTGTGCTCAGAAAATTCAGATCTCATGCCAGAAAAGTTGTTTTAAAATATTTCAGTCATGGAAGATATAAAAGAGCTCATTTTGTTGTCGTCTTTATTTGCTTTTATAAAGTTATAGGCAACGTAAAAATTCATTGCTACCCTCTCTTTCTACCTTCTCACCACCTGTGTGAGCTGAGCTGAATCAAAACGAGCACTCACGAGTCTGCTCGTGAATGGATGTCTGGTTGAACTCTGCTTGGTTTCTGGATGATAACCATCTCCCTGCTGCTGCTGCTTATTCAGCACTGGGCTGATGATACGCTCTCCACATTATTCTGGTTCTCTCTCTGTATTCTGTCTCACTTCATTCTTTCTACCTTTGTTCTTCCTTCTTTTTTATCAATGTATCTAACATTGTTCCATTTGTACTCGTGCTGCTGCTGTCATTTGCTACATCATATTTCATCAACAATGAATCAAATATCACTTCTGCTCAATGACTGTTTCTCCCACTTCCATCCACCCACTATTTAGTTCACCGTCCTGTGAAAACAACTGACATCAGTTCTATATCTGTATCACTGAAGGTGCTGCTGGCCCTCTGTAGCACAATGGGGCAACAGGGTGGGACGCCTGGTGTATTGGCAGGGGACACGAGCCCAGTGCAGGGGGAGCATGAGCCCGTTTTAATCCCTGTTCTATTCTGTGGTAGATTAACTCTTCTAAACCGGCACAGAGTGAATCAGCACATCTCTCTGTATCCCTCTAGATGTTCCACTGTGCAAGCCAGAGTCATCATCATTTATTTGTGTGTGTGCGTAGTGTGTGCAGTAGCACTATGGGCTGCCTGGATGTGCAAGCTGTAAATTCAGTAAAAAGACAGGCGCAGTACAACACTGAATTACATTTAAACATCATTTATATGTCATTTGATGAAAAACCAGTGAAGTAAGGAAAACGTTACTTAAGTTGAAGACGGTTCATTAGATTACAATAAAAGGTACAATAAAAGCTCATAACTTTAGAAAATGACTATATTTGTCTCAAATTAAAAACTACTCTTCTTCATTCTTGCCAACGTGCTGAGGCAGGCAAACACTTGGACACCTTTATGTCTGCACACTGCACGACTGAACCTGTTGTACTGCTTTCAGTCATTTTATTGCCCAGCCAATAAAAAAACACTGGTGGAGACCTCCACGTTAATGTTGCTACATAAAAATAACATCTGTAGTTATTCAGGACGCTTCAATAAAAAGCCTGAATTTACTTTTAATTGTTTATTCCTTCAGTGTGTTTTCACCACCTCCACAGGCCTCAAAAAATAAAGAAAGAGGTCAGTGTAGTGCACATTTCCTGTTATTGTGTTTTGTAATATACAGATTTTATGTGTAGGTAAGACATTCTAATGTCCTTACAGCCATTTGGGGCTCTGAAGCGAATGGTGCTGTTGCTCTGTTTATTGACTGCATGATTACATTAACATGTACCTGAGTGAGGCAAGAGTTCTGACTGATTGGAGAAATGTTTAAACAGAGCTGTGTGATTTGAGTTGACCCTCAGACATGATAAAGATGAGGGGTAGATGAAATTGATGGAAGATCAGTGAAGATTTCAGCAGAGTAAAGAGATGGATATTCTACTCAGTGCACAGATAGAGGTACTCAGCAGATCACTGCATTGGGAAACTAGTGCAATGCAGTTCCTGCTGTGCAGTATCTCAGGATTAACAGGTCATCATTCTGAGAACTTTAGCAAGCTATCTGTTTGGACTTTGAAATGTTACCTGAGTTTTTTTGAAGCTCTGATTGTGCTTTGCCTCAAAGGATGGCCCAAGAGTCAGACGTTCTAAACAAAGAAGGAAGAAACAGGTAGACGGCCTGTCATCAGTATTTTCTTTTTCTTTGCCTTTTAGAACTTGCAAAAAGCTAATTATCCTTCTTGTTTGTTCTCTTGTGTTCAGGAGGATGACCCTACCATCACGGTTTCAGAAAGAGGTGCACGCTCACCTTTCCAGAAACTCCCAGCAGACCGCTCGTAAGTAGGACAGGCTTCTTTTCAGCACACTAAAAATACATGTTGTGTATCCTGTCCTCCAAATCGGCAGAAGATAATTCGTTTCTGATTATTAGTAATTTTTGTTTTATATCGTTCTTTCCTTTATTTTGGATTTCCTTTGAGTCAGCACACAAAAATAGAAGTTATGGGGCTTTTTTCACTCTCCTATTTTGTTTTCTCTTTTGCTTCTGTTTCACTTTTAGAGGTGAAGTCACGTCATTCAATCTAATAGTTTAGGTCCAAGGAAATGATTACTTTAGAAGCAGTAGTGGGCTTTATACATGTGTCTGATCTTTTTTTCCTTCTTGTCTGTTTTTCTCTATTTATCTTCCAGCACCCTCAAACTTAAATGAGAGCTTTGGTTCTGGGAAAGCAAAGCCCTACAACCCCCAACTGGTCCAAGGTCACATCAGAGAGATCTTGGCGAAGTACAGTAATGGCTTCTGGGTGTCCAAACTGCCTCAGATGTACAGAGAGCTTTACAAACAAGACCTGCCCACAGAGGCCATTAAAGACCTGGAGACCTGGACGCACATTTGCATAGTATGTGTCGCTTATGATGCTGTAATTATTATTCGTGCTTTGGTAGCTTAATAAGGGTTTCTGTTTCCAAGCAAAGAGAAAGATAATTCTAAAACATCACTGTAGTGCAATGCAAAATGCTTTTGTAATAGGGCTGCTCCGTTTGTCCTTCCAGGTAGAGAAAACCTGCAGCAGCAACCCATCAGAGCGGCTTCTCTACCCTGCCAAGGAACAGACAAACACTTCCTCCTCCTCTTCGCCCATCCTCACCCACCCAAACTCTGCTACAACCACAAACGTGCCCGCAGACAAACCTTTCCAATCCTCTGTCCAACAGAGAGCCCCCAGCACTCGTCCGACTCGCTCTGGCTCTCGGTCTTCTCAGTCTCCACCTTCATCCTCCTCTTCACCCAGCCCTCCCTCGTCCCCTGCAACCCTCAGCCCTGACCTGAAGCAGAAGCTGGAGGAACTGTTAGTGAAGTACTCCAGTGGCCTGTGGGCCCATGCGCTACCCAAGCTCTTCCAGGACACCTACAAAGTCAGTAATACTTCAGTATACTTTCATGTACATGCCGGGTGAACCTGATAATATTATTATATCTTATGTGTCTTTAAGACCAAACTGCCAGGACATGTTCTGGTCAGCCTCGATCTCCTCTCTGACATCTGCACCATCGACTACCCGATGCCTGACAACCCCAAGAGGGCCATCCTGTACAGGCGAAGCAGTACTGGAGGTGGAGGAGGAGAGGACGAGAACTGCAACAGGAGGAACTCTTCAGCCAGTGAGGAGGAGCTGAGGGTGAGGAAGGAGCTGGGGAGGAGGCTCAGTAACCAGGCAGTGCCTCCACTACAGATCCCCAAAGAGGAGTACCCCTCTGTGCTGGTGGTGGAGGCGACCAACACGAACGGGGTTTTACTCAGGTAAGACAGAAGTTGTGCGATTGCGTCGTAACAAGGCAGAGAGCATAAATCCCTGACTGTCTCTCCTCCGCTGCAGGTACATCGGTGAGGGTTACTCCCAGGCTCAGGAGTCCATGGAAGATGAAATGAGAGAGTTTTATGGTTTGGACCAAAGCAGCCCAACACCTGTATCATCCCTATCCTCGGGCCAGCTTGTTGCAGTCAGGGCGGAGGAAGAGGAGGAGATTCTGAGGGCACAAGTCTGTGAGGTCATGACTGACAAGGTCAAGGTGAGGGGTCAAACACAGGAAATGACCTGAAGGATTAATTTGAGGACGTATAAGTTCTCCCTCTGATCTTTTCTTTTTTGGCTCTATAGGTGTATTATGTGGATCATGGCTTCTCAGAGGTGATCAGCAAAAACAAAGTGTTTGAACTGCATGAGAAGTTCTTTAAACTGTCTTTCCAGGCAGCCAAGTGTAAACTGGCAGGTGGGTGTACTCGTCATTTAATCATAAAAACACAAGTAATTTGGAAGAAAACTGAACATTACTTAAAGAAATTTGTTGCCACTCCTGTCAAACTTTCTTTTTCCTTTCCTAGTTGGTTCATATGCACAAAAGACTGAGATTTTATTCCCGGGATTTTAAGCAAAGTTGCCTCCACGCACAGCGAAAAGCTGTGGAGATTAGTCCAATACGTCATTTTGCACATAACTGTTCAAGTTGTGTAAGTAGATGTCGGTAATGCAGCCAATAAACAGTCGACCAGTCAGAAATGTTCAGTGCTGCAGGGCCCAGTCACAGATCTGATCGTTCTATGGAAAAGAGCTTCTCCAAAGGTTTCTAGTACCTGAGAATATATATGTTTTGTGTCTTTGTGTGTGCCTAGGCCTTGAGACATTTTGTCAGGACCCGGCGGTGCTGAAGAAGTTTGAGACGATGGCGAGTGGAAAGATTCTCTTGGCTGAGATCCTGGAGAGAGGGCAGACCCCTCTGGTTGTCCTGTACGACACGTCGCAGGATGATGACATAAACATCAACGCTGCCTGCATGAAAGCTCTGCACGACAAGTCGCTAGCGAGTCCGTTACAGGTACCGAAATGATTGTGCGTGAATACATGTGGGTATGCATGTGGTTTTGTAACACAGCAAAATTGTTTTTATGGATGTCCTCAGGTGAACAGCGCTTATATGAATGTGGCCATCAGTAGCGTTTGTTCTGATGGGACTATCTACTGTCAGCCTCCCTCCAGAGGTCTTACCAAAATGAATGAGACGCTGGAGAAAATAGAGACGTACTTCCACTCACAGGTAAATGCCTGCTTCGTGTGCTGTCTCAGAGCTTTTTTGGAACTGTGATACTTTTATCAGTGTGCAGATTGATTATAATCTTGTAGCCTTGATATGTTCTATCTTCTTATCGTAGTGTAAGAGAAAAGCTAAAACAGCTAACATGACTGATATCTTGTCATTTTTAATTGATATGCAAATATTACAGCTGAGCATATGCAGAAGAACAGACAGCGTGTTGTAGAAAATGCAAAAATATTATTTCATTTAAATTACATTTATTTCAAGTATATTATATAATAGTATCTATTACACACTGTAGCTGTTTATGTTACTATTTTCAGTATAGTGTGTCTCCTTGTGCACTGTTAAATGGCTACACTTGAACGTTACTCTGCAAACAACAGTTGTCAAAACAACTCAACTGAACATTGTGTAGTCGCAGTCGCCTTGGCCCAGCAGTAGGCCCAGGTGAAACAGAATTAGTCGGTTTTCTGCAGACACCTCCAAGATTTCATGGCTATGTTTGAGTAGATTACCTTCAGAAAACTTCATGCTAATTTCAGGCTCTGAGGACTTGAATGAGACTTGTTCCAAATGAGATTTTCATTTTCTAGCTCACACTTCTCTTTCTGTGGCTTTACATGTCATCATTTCTTAGAGCTTATATAAAAATGCATGTATTGCCATTAAATAACTGGATCACACTGGGTCATACATACATGCGTCTTGTGTACAAACTGGAAAATAATCCAACCTTTTATCTCTTCTTCTAATTCTCTTTGAATTAGTAGATCGGAGCTCATCAACGTCATCTTAAAAAGACTTTTGTGAATGTAACAATGCCATGTGTTTTCTCTCAGGCAGTGTTGTGGGCAGATTACGATTAGGTTGCTAATCTGGAGTTAAGACATGGCCAAGCCACTTAGTCTGTTTGCAGCACAGTGCAGCGGATGCTTTTGTAGTTCAGCGGCCTTTAAAGCGTGTAGCGTCATTTTTACGTCAGCGTTTGGGTAAACAGAGCAGAGCTGCCAGCGTGTTGTGTTAAGACGGAAGATTTATTGGATCAGATGAGTTTAGGTCAGAAATACACAGAATGAAACATTAAACATAAGGAAACATTTTAGATCAAAGTCACATTGTAACACTGTAGTCAAATGTAACAATTATGGGTTTTTTTTGTTTTTTTATTAAAGATTTTAATTCCATTAATTTTCTTCCAGGTAACATCAGAGTTCCTGGTCTCCCGACCTTTTTGTGGGAAAAGATGTTTGGCTCGCTACAAAGGAAAATGGTCCCGTGTCGAGGTAACTGTTTCCTGCAATAAACAATGTGAATTATTAAACAAGGAACAAAATGACTGTTGCTCAATAGAGGACCATTTATTTCCTTTTGTTAACCTTTGATAAGCAGTCACAACCTGTTAATCCCTGTGTTGCAATCAGTACCAAGTATAGTTATCTGTTTATCTATAACTTTTAATAACGTGACGCTTTCTTGTCTCTTTAGATCACCAACCTTCATGGCAGCAGAGTGTTGGACATCCTGTTCATTGATGTGGGCGTGCAGGCTTCTGTCGAGGTGTTTGAGCTGAGGGAGATTCCTCCCCCATTCCTCCGTGACCTTATGGCTATCCCACCACAGGTCAGGGTCTATGTCTTTAATGTGCAGACAGTGAACACCCGACCAGAGAAATAAGTAATAAGATCATATATGTCATTTATACAGTTAGGATTTAGACGGTATCTGTAGAAATGTGGGCATATTGTTAGATAAGCTGATGCATGCAACCTGTGTTCAGGCTGTGAAGTGCTGTCTAGCAGACCTGGCTGTCAGTGTTGGATCCTGGACTCCAGATGCTGTGCAGTGGCTTCGAGACAAAGTGTTGAACACCACTGACTGTAGTATGAAGGTAAATGGCTTTGTCCCCTTTATAAATGTATTTTTTGGCCTTTTGAGCTGAAGAGGTGGAGACGATGATAAGAAATAGACTTACAAACATTCACACTATCCTTTTTTTTACATATAGCAATATATTTAGATTGATTTAGAAACTCAAAACAACTGTGAAAAGTATTCTAATATATTCTGTTCTAAAATATTCTACTATGAAGAAACTAAACGCAGCCGTAAATGTGTTAAATGAGTTTTCTGTGCTTTTTCCTCTATGTTTTTCTTCGTGTCCCTCCACACTCACCAAGGTTGCCAAAGTGGATGAAAAGAAGCGCTGCATTCACGTCCACTTATTCACAGACAAGAACTTCCATGACCCGGACCGCAGCCTCAACCGTCAGATGGCCCAGTCCGAGCTGTTAAAGCAGCAACCAGACGTCTTCCTGACCAGCCACAGGTTCTCGATGATGGTTTTTCACCTGTTAACTCTGTGCCCTCCAGCTAATGTCTATTTTTTCTCCTTTCTCAGTTGTAATTCATTTAAACTGAATTTCTAGTTTTATGACTTTCTCAGCTCTGCCAGGATTTCCACACCTACTTCATCCACCAAGACCTCCAGTGCCAGTAACTCCACCAATGGCAGCCCAACATCAGCTAATGTCCCAGTCAAGCCTCACCTCAGGAGGGCTCTGTCAGGGCCCAAAGGCAGTGGAGGCGGTGGAAACACCACCACCACCACCCCCAGCAGCCCGACAGAAACACCATCATCCCCCACATCCTCTCTCCAGCTGCCACCACCATTAGAGCTGCCCACTATAGGTACCAAGGAAGAGTATATTGTCTAAAGAAAACACTGTTGTTATTTGTCTTGTTTAAACACCCACCACACAGTATATACTGCATTTGAATGCTCTAATCCTCAATGTTCTTATTTCACATTGGACTCTTGTTTTTTCAGGAAACAACATGGATGTATACGTATCATTGGCGTGCCACCCCGGCCACTTTGTGCTACAGCCATGGGGAGACATGTACAGACTGGTAGTGCTGATGGGAGAGATGATTCTCTACTACAACAAAACAGAGGAGAAACCACTAAACGTAGAGAAGAATCAGATTTATGCTGCTAAAGTGGAAAACAGGTGAGTTTACAACTACAAATCTCACAACGCATGCTGTTAAGAACTTGAATTGTAAGTGCGTGTGCTTTCTCTCCATCGATTCTTTAGCTGGCATCGTGTGCTGGTGAAGGGAGTTCTGAACAGCGGCTTGGTGTCTGTTTATGAGTTGGACTATGGTAAGCACGAGCTGGTCAGCTGCACACAGCTCAGGCCTCTGATCAAAGAGTTCAGACAGCTGCCGTTTCAGGGAATCACTGCTCAGCTGGCTGGTGAGTACACGTCACATGACACTCAGTCAACTGGGCTGTACAATTACATCAATCTGCAAGACCTCCGTTTAATTTATTACTTATTATTTATACCTATTTATTTATGCCTGGTTCTCATTTGGACTTGGCTCCTGGTTCTCCGCAGGAGTGAAGCAAAGGCAGTGGTCCGAGGAGGCCTCCATTGTTTTCCGGCACCACGTGGAGAAGAAGCCTATGGTGGCCCAGCTGGAGGCAGTACAGGAAGCCACTACCCCTTGGGAGAGGAAGCTGACTGTCTTCCTAGTTGACACTTCCCAGGAAGAAAAGGACACCTGGGTGCATGACATCATGGCTGAGTTTGCAGATGAGCTGACCAACGAGCTGTAAACAATAGAGGACCACTGAGAAGTCTTACTAGATCCTGTTGATCAAAGAAGGCGCAGTGTGTCGTGGATAGAAAAAATAGAAGAAGCTTATCTGTCTTTATCTATATACCTACCATCTAGTTGGATTAAAGAAAGGAAGAAAGGGGTTTCCTAAAGAGATGAACAGAGTTTGAGAAGTAAGAAGGGACACTGAGATGTTTGGCAGCATGTAGAGGAACGAAGACGACGTGAAGAAATGAAGGCACCGTAGCTGCTGTAGTGTTAAAGGCTGCACACAGAAGGATGCTGTGATGTGATGTGATTTGAGTTACTGCAGTGTGACCAATGGACAGCATGCCCATTCATGATGACTAAGTACATAATTGATACAAACAGATCTACAGTACAAAAATAAACTGTTAATTAAATCAGTATAACCTCGCAAAGCAGTCAGAATGGTACAGCATGCATTCAGAATATTCGGTATGGGCTTTAATCCAAAGCATCCTAAAGTACCATGACCGGTTTTAGTGTGTGTCATCCTGGGAAAGCCAGAACACCCTCAATCCTGCCAATGTGAGCACCACACAAACTGAACCGAGCAAGTTCTCTCGCGCAAGGAAGACGTACAGTACATGCACCTGTTTACTAAATCTGCTTTTGGGATGGTGCTGCTCATTGTCACGAAGTGTGCAAAAAGTGGAGCAAACATTCCAGTGAAAGTAGGAGAAATGGACGGGAGGTCGTACGAGGGAGAGCAGGAGCTTTTATTTTGAAATTACTTCATGTGCAAAATATAAGTGACTGGTATTCAGTGGAAAGTATCAAATTAATGATGAGCATTTTTTATTTGCCTGTGAAATGCAACACAGAATTTATTGTGGTTTGAAGACGAGTTTTACAGTGTGGATGTGTAAAACTTAGTTTTATTAAAAAATGAAGGATAAATAATGCATCAAACCTACATTGTGACCAGCTCTAAACAAGAGAAATGTGTATTTTTAGAATCTCAAAAGTCTAACATACGAGAGAAAATGCATGACAAACTCCTGATTATAACTCCTGTGACGTCAGCGCCTCGTCCATCTCTGTGCTTTTTCGGGAATTGGATTTTTCTGGCCCGTGTTTCCGTTTCTCGCCTGGCATTGAGACGTAAATCTCAGCAGATTACTCGTGCTGCATGTTACAGATTCCCTGAGCTACGGTTTAGTTTGACGTTATAGTAAGAACAATAATTACGATATTAATACGCAGATTAAGTTTAATGTAGTGATATATTTATAGAGTTTTAAATGGAGGATAAATTGGGCTTATGATTGGGTTCGGTACCACCGCTAAATGCCGGCCTGATGTGGGATTTGATTCTGAAATGTGAAACTTTTCTTTCTGATGATTTGAATGTGCAATTCTAATTCTGACGCTAGCCGACCTGACATGATCTTATTTATATTTAACTTATATTCTCTGGATAATAATGATCACTATCATTCCTATTTTGTTTAACAATGACCTGGAAACAATAAAACAGATGTTTTTGGAATGAAGTCTGCTGTGACGTGATGCTCGTTGTGATGTGTCCTGACGTTTCAGTGACAGGCATGAGTGAGTTTGATTTCTTTATTAAAATAGCAAAACACTGCAGTCTTATTTACATGCTATATCACAACAAAATGTTCATGGATCTACAAAATGATAACACTCGGCATATTCTGCATTTGATGACATGTGGGAGTGATGCAGAAGTTCGTCACATGCAGCATTATTGCAAGGCTAGGCCACACTTTATGTAGTAAAAGTCTGTAGCTAGGTTACAAACACAAGTGAGCCTAACTGTGAATACAGCTGTGGACCAAAGCAGTCTGTCCATGGTTGGTCGGTCTGTCGAACGATTAGCGAATAGAGAGCATCATCACAAACTCTGAGCAAAAGGAGAAAGAAGAGAAAACAGAAAACTGAGTGAGTGTGTGGCATCTGACAGAAGAGCAGGGGTTTGTTGGTGTAATGGTGAATGTGGATGAAAAGTTTGAAAAGTGTAAAAACACACACACTTCTAATGAATCAGTTAATGGCCCGAACATGCTGATGTCTTCTCACCTTCAAAATCAATGCTCCCATCTGCATTAATATCCAGCTCCTTTAAGATCTCCTCTAGTTCTCCTTTCTTCAGCTTCTCCCCCAGCAGGGTCTTCAGCGCTTCCTTCAACTCCTCCAGGTTGATTATTCCATCTCCGTCTACATCAAACTGAAAAACAAAGTACTTGAAATGACGTGCGTATCCGATGATACTGTGTGCGCACATTTATTTGGGATTTCTGTCCATTCGCTCTAATTCGATAACTGCGGTAATTGAGTCATCGTTAGCTGACAGACCTGCATGAAGGCCGACTGGAGCTCCTTTAGTCCCAGCATGTCCGCCGTCTCGCCCATCATCCTCGGTCCCATCAGTTCAATGAAGTCTTCAAAGTCCATTAACCCGCCCACTGTGAAGAAGAAAGGGGCTCTTAAGTGAACCAATAAAGGCCAAAACATGGCCAAATATGGAGTTGTTGTTTTTTTTACTTGACTGTTTAATAAAGATTTGAAATCGACTGGTCGATTTCATTAAACATGTTCTCAGTGGACTCACTTCTCATCTTTATCTGTTGCACTATTTCCAGCAGCTCCATTTCAGTGGGCATGTATCCCATAGTCCTCATGCACTCAGCCACGTCCTTGTAGTTCAAGTAGCCATCTTGGTCGTAGTCAAACTCCTTAAAGGCCTCGTGCAGCTCTGTGAGGAATATCATAGGGGTTGCAAAGAGAACATGAAAGTTACTGATAACATTTAGCACCCAAATTCACACAATTTAAGGAAAACTGTTGAAAAATAGTTACAGTATGTAATGAAAAGGTGTGGTCTGGGAACATTTCTCCCTACTTTTGAACATACAATAGATTTATGAAGATGGAAAGAAACAAAAAGTAAATGAAATTAAAAAAAAGAACTGGAAAAAAAAAGCTTAAAATATTAAAACACTAAACAAAAGCTGGGTTTAGGCAGTCATTTTAACATTAACAGTTCATTTAAACTCTAATAATTCACCACTGACAACACAAAACAGGATTTTTAGGCGATCACCTCTGAGGCCCGACACCTCAGTGTAATAAATGTAACGCTGATGTAGGTGTGAGTGAGACTCACCGTCTAATTCAGCCTGAGCCAGTTCTCTGTCCTGCACACACGCGAATCAGACATGTCACAGCAGCAAAAACAAAGTCAAATACTCCACAACAGAATAAAATCGACACCATTTCATTTTTGCAAATGAGTGTGATGCTCATGACATCAAAGATTGCTAACTTGTGTGTAATTATCATTTATAAACATATCAAAAAACAAAAGGTCTCGTTCTGACGGAGCTCTTCTTTTGGATCATCCTAATGAATTGTGACGCTAAGCTTGTGCTAACGGGCGACTAACACGTCAGACACACCAGGCTTAGTGGAAAAAAGCTCCAGAAAGATCAGGAGCACACCTGTAAGCACACCGTCTCACCTCCGCCTGGCTCCTGACATTGTAACATGTGACACCTGTGACTGTTGTCATGGCGTTTAAATGGATAATGATTTTTTTTTTTAAACAAATGCGCGTGAAGAAAAACTTGATACTGGGATATAAAATTGAGCTAAAACTGTGATTGAATATGTAAAGGTCAAAGGTCACAGCTGTACAGCACATTAGAATGGGTGAAAATACTTACCGCCCCAAAAATACTGTTGAGCACGGAGATGTAGACTTTTTTCTTACTCTCAGAGACTTTCTTGGACTTCTTCAAAGACTTCTTGGGCGTTTCGGAGACTGAGCCTGATGGGGACTCCTTTCCCTTGGGAGATTTAGTGCCGCCTTCTTTTCTAAAACATGTAAAGTCACAATTCTTCCTCACATTTGACACCAGAGACCTCTGCTATAAAAATCATCTTACGAATAAGCATATTTATTGCTTGAGAAATTCGAACATTTTTTCCTGAGGTAATGAATGAAGTTACCACGGCCACACATCAGAGTTGTGGAAATCGTGCATACTTTTAGACAAATTTATTCTACTTTGAGGAAGACACACAAAGACGATCTCAAGTTACCCATCTGCTGAGGCTGAGTCAGCGGAAGTTGTTGAAGGGGTCCGCTCTCCTGCTTTGGACATGCTGTGGATAAACAGAGACACACATGCCACAATAAGTGCACTATGTACTTCAATTAAACATATTAGTGAATATGCGCTATATGAATGCAATCCATTATTATTGTTTGGAAATGTGAAAATTAACAGTTTTAGGAATGCTTAAAGATAAAAAGAAACAGTGTTTTCTATCACTGTTAGTACTTGATCTTGTTTTTTCTACTGCACATTGCTTACCTTACCTCTGTGTCCAGTTAGTATGAGCAATAAGAGATCGTGTCCTCTTTTAGCGGTGTTCCTCTTGTGTTGTGAATGGCTTCACGGTATACTCTGCTCTATCTGCTCTCGACCTCCCACCGTCAGAGAGGCTTAGCAGGTAATCACCTGGCTAAACATGCAGCCAGCAATCAGAGAGCAAAACGTGGAGCAGCACTGTGACTGTGGCTGGTTCGACTCCAAATGTGTGCCTGAGCACAAGAAGTGAAATACCTGGGATACCTCTTTGGCCGTGGACAAATAAAGCCACAAGATGACATGTCATAAAAATACTTGCAAAACAGGACATTTCTTTCTTTTTACAGGCTCCACGGGCTTTTACTGATATAAGCAAATAGTAGACGGTCAATTAACGACAAATATTAGACAATTAATGACTTTCTTAAACGTGCGTTTGAGACAGACATCGTTCTCTAAATGTTATTTACTCAGAAGTCTGTTTATCCTGGAATACGTCGTGTATTTTATGGAGTTTTCCCTGTATGTTGGGCTGTATAAAAACAGTCCAGTCGTCATCTTCAATGGCACCTTCAGCTTTCCTCAGATGAGTGTTGAAAATGTCGCTTTTGAGGCCTTAAACTCGGTGGTGTCGCGCCAGTCCATGGGTAAGCCAATGATTAATAAATCATTAATAACCCCTGCTGTAACTGAACTTTTCTTTCAGGGTACTAATTAAGTTAACAGGCTGGTAAGCTTGTGCATCACCAGGTGTCGGATAATGTAGGTCTCCTCTGCTAATGAGTAGCCGTTTATACTGTTTTCTTTACACTGTAATGTATGCGAGTATGGGATCGTTTATGGCAGCTAAAACTGTGCACGTTGATAGCTTAACTTCACCAAACAAGTTCTTGTTTAAACGCCAGATGACTTTTATTCAATATGTGCGTTTATCCAAAATAGCCGTGTGTTCACTGGGCTCATAGCAGCTGGCCTACTGCACATGCTCCCGCCCCTGGTCAGGGTTAGCATGTCGGTCTGTTCGGTGGTCCACTAGATGGCGCCAAAACTCACAGTACTCTTACAGCCACGCTAGCATGACATTGCTGGAGCAGTTTATTCGTAAAATAGACGAATGTCGACGCATGTTTTGTCCCATATGGACTTGTTTTACAGTGTACTTATTTTTTTCTTAACATTTTACTCCAGTTTTATTAATCTTTTGTGAGCAAAGCTGGGGAAACACCTGTTAATAGACACCAGGTCAATTTGGCTGAATGAAACCACAGTTAAAAAGGAAAGCCTCACTTATCACGTTAGTCTTATCATTTTGGACGCTTGCCGAATATATTACATAAATGAGTCCCTAGTCATTGTCATTGTATAATGATTTGTAAAACTTTAAAAAAAAAATAAAACGCTCGCTGTAAGCTGCGACGTCGAACCCATACATTGCGGCAAAGCATTATGGGAAAATCTCAGCCTATTTAACTTTCAAATGAACTATTACATGTCAATAAAATAGCATTAATCATTTGGTGAACGAGTTAGATTTTAAATTATGATCGTGTTCCACTAAACATTGTGTTGCTGCTTATTTCCGTAAAACCGTCAGGCTGACTCGTATGTGGCTGAAACCCACCCCTCGCCCGGCTGTCTCCCACTCATACTTACCTGGCAGGGATGATACCATGATCACAAAGGTGGTTCATCCAGAGCGAGGCTTTGTCATTGCACAAAGGCAATTCTGACCTCTGTGAATTCCTCAAATGTGGGAATCTCAACTGCACAATTTATGGTAGTGGGGACTGCGTACGCGCTTTCCCCTGTTAACATGTGAGAAAAAAATTATACCCCTACTCTTTTTCATTCAACAAGTACATCGTTAATCGGGGTGCATACTGGTATTTGAAATCTTTGAAGAGTGCTTGGATTTCGCGTGTAGTGCTTAAAACCTCTTGAAATTGTAACCGTATTTCATTCACCACAAATAACTATCTGCTTGAATAGTTTTCTTCAGATGGAGAAATAAAATGAGTCCCGAAGTCTAAAAGCAAAATTTTGCCTTGCTCCTCAGCATGTCTGTCTGCCGAACAGTCGGATGGACAGTACAGTAGTGCAATTCATCCTGATCGGTGATTGGTCAAAAGTCTAGAGTGAGAGAAGAGGCTTGTGATTGGTGAAAAATGTGCAATGAAGAAGCCTTCTTTTATTCATTCAGTCTGTTGTCTGATTTTTCTTTATCAGGTGATGTTTTCAGCTCCTTTATCCCGCCTGACGCCTGGACTGCTGTCTGTGGTCTTCAGCATGATCACAATGTGTTATTTATGTATTTTTACTGGTTTATAATCACACGACAGTAAGCATTATCAGTGTATATTACAATAAAAGCATCTAGTTTTTACTCCAACATTGATGAGGATTTTCTTTTGGCTCTTTTGAACCAACAGGTTGGAAAGTGCCCTGAAATTAAGAGCAATTGAAAATCAATTCCTTTCTTTTCTTCTGTGATTATTATGTGCAAAGTCTTTTAGGTTCTTCTGACAATGTAATTGTTTTACTTTTCAACTGGTAAAATCTGAAGGATTATTCATGCCATGACACTGTCATTTACAGACAGGCAAGAAATTAAAGGCATGCCCTGAACTCCTGATCCCTACACAGAGAGACATTGTTGCACTTTGCTGCCATGTTAGGGTTCACTTGTCAAAGGTAAGAGTTGTAAAATCATTAGAAACTTGCTATGAGAGATTATGTTTGTCCTGTGACAAATAGACTGAATAGTTGATTATGAAAATGGCGTGATCATACACCATGGCTTTCACATTCACCTGATGTCAACCAAGACTATCTGGGGAAATTTGACTCACATAACAGATAATAGCTCTGTTAGTGTTTCCTAATCAATTCCAGGAAACACTGAAGTTGTTGCGGAGGCATGTGTTGTACAAATACTTCCAAAACTTGTCTTTGCCTGCTTGTACACATTGCTTCTTTGGTTCAGGTCTGTTATGTGTTTCTACATAGTTGTGTCTACATGTCTAAGACAGATTAAAGCCCAACTTGGGCATTCGTTAAGTAAATCCACAACTCACTGTTACTGTAACACAGGACACTTTATTAAAGTGGATGAAACAGGAATACAGGAAAACAGCACTGCAGGATAGTCAATCAGTGAGCTGAACTACAAAAAGTCAAAAGTGCCTATCAGGTAGGCTGGAATCATACATGTTACCATCAACAATATCATTGTGCATGTACTGACAATAGCCAAACACGGGTAAATGTGTAGTAAATGGCAGTGCGGTAAATCTGCATAGTATGATATTAAATACACGTACTACTTCATATATCTCAGATCGTTTGTAACGAGCCACGGAAAGCATCGTGTTGACTTGAAGGCGCGTGGATACCCTCTGTGCGTGAGTGAAGGCTGAGCAGCTGCTGTGTGCAGGTTTGGTGAAGACCATACTTCTCACCAGGCCTGCTGACGAGGTGCATGGGCATCTGGATTTACAACATGACTTGCTAATGTCGCCAACATCAGTTGTAGCCACTGAAAAGACTAGAAATGAGCGTAATACATTAGATGTCATAGCGCGCGGCTAACATTTACCACAAAGAAAAAGGCTTAAATGCGCTATCGTGTAATTTCCGCTAAATCCAGAGTCGATAAATTAGCGTAAACATAAAAGAAATGCCAGTTTCCATAAAAAACAGCGGGCTTCTTCGCTGTTCCGCTATGTGTTGTTGTTTTGGTGACGCAACTTCCGTCGAGCAGACGATTGGTCGTCTACAGTGGGAGCCGACGCTCCTATTGGCCCGAGTCTACAGTGTCTACGCTCACCGTAGACTCCGGGCCAATGAAAAGACGTAACCGTCTACAGTCAGCGTAGACTTTGCCCACATGCCTGGAGGTTGCTGTTTTAATAAGTGTTTGCTGAAAAACAACAAATACAAAGTATGGATAACACAAGGAACAAATCCACCTGAAAGGTCTGCAAAAAGGATTTGCACCTTTTCACAGGGGGCACTTTGCGTAAGCCCTAGTACATAATTTTCCAGTGTGTGTACATTACACATGCTAATTTTTTCAAATAATTGTTTTGCTATGATGATTGAAATGCACTGAGTATGATACAATATGGCAGCGTTATTATAGCCGTTATGGCGAGGTGATGTATGAAAGGCTGTGAAATTAGCTAACATTACTTAGCAGTAACAGTAATGTGACTTCACTCAAGTGAAAGCTTTAAACGTTAGCCCGATACTTAACTAGCCAACATAAGGCTTTCTGATTAAAGACTAAAAGCAAACTTATCGCCAAGTAAATAGGATACTGTTTATATTTTTGTTTATGACTGGCATTAACACGGTGCCTTTGGAAACACCTTAAGGGGCAATCATGGTAATAAGAGGGACTGATCCATATGTGCATAAAGAATTGACAGTTTTTGTGCTACCGAAGTTCCCGGCTTTCATTCAAAATCTGTTTATCGTGAGCACCTACACATTAAACAACTTAAACATTGTAATGGCTTCAAGCTCGCGCTGAGGCCTGTGTGGCACTATCAGCCACTGTGACAGTAAACAAATTTATGTTTTTGTATATCAATATTTCATACTTTAAGGCTGCCTGTTTATTTAACGGAGATGAAAAAAAATACATTACAATTGTACCTAAAAATATCAAAGATGATAGATTAAATAAATAGATTTTAGGTAGATGCTTGTGCATTCTTAAAGTCTTATATGTTGATTTGAACTGAGTGTGTCATCTGTTCAAAGCCTCCCAGTCAGTGCTGTTCTCCATGCCTGTCTTACTGTACACGGTGCACAAACACTTTAAAGTTGATCATTTAGGACTTCAACAATAATATTACAGGAATGTAGTAAAACAAAAAAAAACCATCTGTCTCCTACTTTTTGTGTCACGTAGGAAAGAAGCATCAATATCTGGTGAGAAGACTTATTAGTTTGGCCTTGCTGTGTATTATTTTGGTTTGATTTTGATGTTTGGTGCAGTTTTCTTGTTTTGTTTTCAACAGGAGATTTGATTTGAACACATTTGTACATCTTAATTTTTAAGTGAGATGTGCCTTTTGAGTTTCGACACTATATGCATATAAGGCAGCCTTTTCCTTTTGCAGTATTTTTGTGTGGTGTGTTTTTCTCTTTTTAGTGAAAGGGGAACAAAGGACATTTAAACTGCTTTTGAACTCTGTAAACTCGCGCTAATAAAACGGCAGACCACACCAGCTAACTCTCGTAGCTTTATTTATTCAAAAAAAGGAAACAAAACATGCAAGAGAATGCAGTTACAGTTTGCAACAGCTAAAAAGAAAACTACACTAGACATATAAATGTTTCTCATTATAACATAAATGTGACAGGATACAGCTGTGAAGTGTCAGTACAACCTTTGTGGGATTTGATGTTTTTCAGATGTTCAGCTTCCTCTCAATCACTTAAAAACACATAAAAATAAACCAGACCATCATGTAAGTGTCTTTTTATCTCGGCTGTAATTTATTGACTTGAACAGGCTCTCTTATTGAGACCGTGTTATTTAACAAAGTGGAATTTGCATTTGTTTTAGTTTCATTTGAAGTATACACGCTTTGTATGGATTCATTTTTTTCCATAATGCTGAGGCAATATTGTAACTAGAAAGTTACAAGATAATTATAGTTCACATATCTCAATTTTCCTGACATCTGCTGCCTTTTCTTAACCCCTCTTTTTTTGTTCGTGCCCCTTTACTTAATCTAAAGGTCTTTTCTCACCCCATTTTCTTTTCCCCTTTACCAAGCCCACAGTCATCTCACACCCAGACCTTCCCCTTTCCACCGCCATCAGCAGCATCTCGACTCCCGCAGCAGCCCGTGCCCAGGCCACGATGCTGGGTGGCCGGGAGGTTCTTGTACACGGCCCGGCTGTATGGAATGAAACACAGGCCCAGCTGGAGGTGTCGGGCCAGACGACAGTATGCAGCCAGCGCCAGGACTAGCAGAGGGGTGACCAAGAGGAAGCCCACCACCAGCAAAGCCACACAGCCTCCATCGGTCAGTAGGTCTGAGCAGTAGGGTGTAGTTCCATGGGGGCGCACCTGCAGACCACATGGCAAACTTTAGTGTTTTCAGTCAGTCATCATTTTAAACCTTTATTTTGCAACTTTACCCAGGATGATACATTTTTTAAGAAGGCTCCGCTCCCACATAGTCGCACACACGAAAACCTTGGCTGATCTGCCGGCCGCCATCACAATCCAGAGGATGACGTGGTGTATGCGGTATGTGTGTATGAGGTGAGGACAGACACCAGTTGGTAGTCTGAGATATAACACTCTCATTCTCTCGCACACACATAAACATATGCATGTCTGAGAAAAATTAATGGAACTAAAAAGACGTTGGTTGAAGCTACTGTGAGCTGGATTGATGCTCTATGTCAAAGTATGTGCAATAGCACAGTGGGAGTGGAAGGAAAGGTGATGGGTTCAAGATATGAATGTGGAAGAGGAGGAGAGGCGGTATGTCTGAATTATCCCTATAAGCCTGTGAAGTGAACATATGAATGCACGAGCAAAGTGCAGGCTGCAAGAAAGTAAGAATGACATGGAAAACACTAAACTCAAACCTCTGTCAACCTTTGTCTGTAGAGTTGCAAAAAGGGCAAAGCAAGGCAAGAGTTGTGCACCAGAATCCACTGGAATTTGAAATAAGGTCTTCTATATTGTTCTTTTAAATGATTAAAGTCGTGCAGTCTTAAAGCCGTATAGCTGATTTAATCTTACTTTTAAAATAAAAACAACGAACATTCTGCATAAAAATATAATATAGTGCGAGTTAACGGAGGAAGCGTTTAGAATAGGAGTCGTAGAAGATAAGAGTCGGACAAGTATGCCCGTGTTTGTTTTAAAATCGTGAGAGCTCCTGAATGCCTCCAGATCTGAGGCAGGGTGTACTGGGAAAGGAATGCACTTGTTTCTTTTTTGCAAAAAGTTGTATATATTGCATGTGTGGTTGTGTTTTCTTAAATACTTGGATCCAACTTACTTTCTTTATATGTTTTTTTTCTTTGGCCCTTTTTATTTCTCCCGAATTTTCTCCTTTCTTCACCCTCCCAGATCCTGGTTAATCCTTTTCTAAGCTGGTGTCACATGAGGTCTTACTGTGAGAGAACATGAGAGAATCCTGGTCCCTCTGGTTATTAAGGAGGCCTACACAAGTGCCATTGGTATGTGTGAAAGCCTCTGATCCACCATGACTTTTTGGTTTAGTCCAGGTGATGCTTCTGCATACGATGTTAAGTGAGCAGCTTGGTTTTAGCTGTATGTGCTTTTCAAAAATATTGTTTCCTCACATGCAATTCTGTGTATTAACCGTTTATTTAGTTTTTAATATTTATGTTTTTCCAATATTATGCTTTCACAATCATATGTTAAAAAGTGTATTTTAATCCCTAAAGCAGACATTCTTTAAAGGTTTGTGCTCTAATGCCTATCCTACTCCTGGCCACTTGCCCTGTCCAGTTGTTTCTCCTCAACATCTAAAAGAATCTGAGACTTATCAGATTATAAAACCTCTCATCGATGATAAAAGCCAAAGCACTCCCTAAGCCCCAAGCACAACTATTTCAAACTTGTGGATAAAAGTTACAAGATTAGGACTTGTAGATATTTCATAAAAAGATTGATGCAATCATCTCCACTCAGCATCTCTCCTTACATACTCCGGTGGTTTCAAATGTCTGCGATGCATGATTTTTGAGAGCAAATAGCTCTATGAATTATTATGAAATGCGTCGGAGGATGCATGCAGATGTGCTAATCGAGTTTAAATTGCGCCTGAATGCCGCGGTGCAGAAGAAGAACACAAAGAGTTCACACAGTTTTCACACGTTCCCGTTCATTCGCTCCCCGTTTTCCTTTCTCTTACTGTAGAGTGACAGAGGAAGCCAAACACAACCATGACGATGGCTGGTGTCAGGATGATCCCGAACACCAGTCCAGCGAGGCACGCGTTGATTGCGGCGATCAGCACGTTCTGAGCGGTGACCAGCACCGAGCAGGCCCAGCAGTCGAGAGATCCCCGCAGCTCCAGAGGAGCCTCGCTTCCCCCGCCGCCACTCTCAGCTGCAGAATAAGGAGGAGGCACAACCACACGTGAAGGTGTTTCTCTCCCTCCACCCACAGCCGCGGTGGATGCCAGGGAGTTGGAATGGTGAAGATGCTGCTGCTGGTGGTGGTTGGTGTGGTGATGGTGGTGGTGAGGTGGCAGTTCCTCAGACAAGTCCAAGGCCTGATGGTGTGCCCCCCTCTCGAGAGTACCGGCCATACTCATAACGAACTGTGTGAAGAAAAAGAAATCGGAACTTGGTCTGAATCAACATCAAGGATGAGGAGATTGTGCACATCATTGCAGGTGTTTTGAAGGTGTTGTATGTGTGGCCAATGTGTTGGTGGTTGGAGACTGTGTGAGCAGTCAGGTGTCAAAGTGACAAAAACCACTGAGTTAGTGGTTGTGGGTTCACTAAGAGGTTACATGCTTTTTCTGTCAGGAAGCTAGGAAGCCTTGTGTGATGCCATCTGTGAGGTGATGATTATCAGCGAGCTGATTGGCCAAAAGGAAAAGGCCCCATAATTGTTATATGTAGTTTGTGAAGTGGAGAGATCAAGGCTAACTCGCATGAAAGTTTGTACATGTGGGTGTTGTTTGCACATGTAACTGTGGCTATGTGGTGTTGTGTGTTGTGCCTCTGCAAGTACCGATGCTACTAAAGAAAAAGGTTTGACTCCTCAGGCTAGTTGTTGATCACAGATATATCTTGTACTAGTAAAACAGTCCACCGTTACAAATCGAACCCTTAGAATTTTCACTGTAGCTCAGTGAAGCACCAGCTCAATAATACCCATGACTTTGTTACTACAACGAATTATTCGCTTACTTTGTGTTAAAATAATGGTCGCGTTTTCTCGGGATTTAGCAATTTTTTGACATGGGAAGAGATCAATAAAGGAACGACAGTTTAAAAGGAGTTGGTCACAGGTTTGGATATATTACTGTAGGTCTTCACCTTATAATATAAAGTGCTTTTGGTTGACTTGTATATAAATTGTGTTGAAGTGAATTGAATAATTCTCCCAACACAAAATGTAATAACAATATGGAACGACATAAAAACGATGCGGTTTACTAATGTAAATATGTTGGGGTAATGTTATGTTCAACCTATCTGTCTTTTAGAACAATAATCTAGCATATTCACAATATTGCAGGGGACAGGGTTAAATATTTTAAATATTTTGGTTAATTAAAACAAAAAAAAACTTAAAATTATCCATCCATCCATTTTCCCGCAATATTATTAATGGCCAAGGTGCCATTATTGCAAGATGTTAGGCATTTTATGGAAATCAAATGTTTCATAAAGTGTATAGAGTCATTTAACTTTTGTAAATAATGGCCTCGTGAGCATGAAATATTAAGAATAAGTTATGGCAATTTTATATAACAAAAAATCGGGTTGATATTTAAGAGATCTTACACCAGGACGTTGCATTCTTTTTGCGCTAGGGCAGATTTTATGGGGTACGCAGCTGCGTCTGCTGCAGGATATCCTCACTTCTCTGAGGTCAGGAGACAGCGATGACCATGTTGGAGAGAGGACGTGAGAGTACCACGGCTGTGCAAGCTGCCAGAAAAAGCTTCAGTGCCGGAAAAATCCCAGCAGGAAAGACCTACTCAACCTGTCATCCTTTTATTTTTAAAAGCGTTGCCACACACTGATAGGAAGGCCATCTTTTCTTTGACTTGAACGAGTCACAGATTCATATTTATGCCGTACGGGAATGCTGTGTGGACAAAAATTGAGCACATTAGAATCTGTCCTGTGCAGGAACCAGTGGAGGACTATGCCTGTGCTGGCGGTGGTGTGATGTGTGTAATGAGTGGTTCATTGTGATGGCAAGATGGAAGTTGCGTGCACAACAGCAGCTTTTTGTACAAACAAAAACGGGTGAGGCCGTTTAATCGTGTAAAGTCAGAAAGGTCAGGTAAGATGGCCGTGTGTGCACGCTGTGCGCACTTAAAACTCAAGTCGAACAAAAAGTAACCTTCAAAATATATCGGCTAACGTTGGACTCACTGGATCTCAGCAGGTACAGCAGATCCGGGGCTTTCGCGATGCTGTCCTGGGTGCTTTAGTGTAAATTTTTCCACGCCTGTGTCCCATTGTTATCCCAAGTGTTTTTGTAAGGTGGAAGGTCATAGAGGAAGGACTGGCAGGAAAGTGTGTATGCGCACATGCGTGTGTGTGTGAGGTGACTCATTGTGCAGCTTATGGGAAATGGGAAATACCATTTTACTCACTGCTCTTACTTTTCGTGGAGTAACGTGTTGTGTCGTAACTAAATAGCTTATTTCGTTTAGCTCAAATATGGAAAACTGAGCAGCGAGGTTAATGAAGCTACTGTATGAGGATCTTTTGTTTTCTTTTTGAGTTTATTTTTGTGTCATAATGTGTAGCGCTATATTGTGGATAAGCTAGGTCTCAGTGCTGTCATGCTTCATTGATTCAGGGAGATTTTCTGTTGTTTTTTCTTTCTTTTCTATTATCTGGAACAAAATAGCTGCAATAATACTTGTTTGTCTCTTATACTCATTACGTTCTGTTGAACATCACTCAATAGATGTAAACAGTGTTTTAGCTTCAGTGTAGTAACTTATATCTCAGCTGTTCAGTGTTAATATGATTTCATGGTTTGAGGTCGTACTCACGTTGTGCTGTGGGGCCCGGTGGACCTCTTGCTGTTCCTCCTCCAGATTTTTGCTGCTTTTCTCACTTCTTCTGCAGAAGACTTGTGACCAGTCTGTCAGCCACACTCGTGCACTCCCTGCACACTTTAATGAAGCTCTTTCGTTCTGCTTTTATTCCTTCAGCTGTTCTTTTCCAGTTCTCCAGAGTGAAGTTAAAACAGGCTTTGAGATCTTCTTGGAGGTTCCCCTTTGAAGCCTTATCTCTTTAGGTGATAAATTGGTGTCCTGCAGCTTTGCTTTTGGTTTCCGTCAGATATCCTGAGATGTCAGTGGAAAAGATTGCGTCCTAAATCTTCTGTCGTCTTCTCCAATCCACCGATCAAATTGTTGCTGTGGACGAAGTGGTGCAGAGATGATGGTGGAAATAACCGAAGCTTCCAGTTGCTGTGGTCTTTGTCTTCGGTATGTCAAACTTCTGTCTCTGCCCTCCTCTTTTTACCCCCCATCTGATTGAGTCCAGAATGCTGTATCTCCCCTCCTCCTGCACTCCCTGCATCCATCCCACTTTCTCCCCACCCATCAAACTTATCAAACCCCCCCTGCTTTTCTCCTGCAACTCCTCTCACTGCACACATTCCACCTCTCTTATCCAGGACATGCTACACCCCTTCACCCTCTCCCTGTTGCAATGGGGGCTGGGTGTTGTGTGTTAGGGGTCAGAATGAGGCGGCTGACCTGATAAGTTGAGGTGCAGGAAAGCAGAAAAAAGGGGGGGAAGGGCAGTAGAGGCAGACTTGGTTTGTCTTAAAGGTGGAGGTACCACAGAGCCGAGCACATTCTTTTTATCATGTTTATTTGTATTACAGAGTCCAAAAACTGCTTTAGAAAATGTTAACCAGTGATTTAAACGTACAGGATGATAAACTCAGCTGGAGTTGATAAGAGGCAGATGATGCCATCTGACACTTAGAGTTTCATACACAGCTCTCTTAAGGTGTCAACGCAGCATTTCAGTCAGGTTGACTTTGATGTGGCTGCTGCAGTGCCCAGTCTGGGCCAAGCTTTAGCTGTCAGACAGATGGTCTCACGTTGACTCTAGAATACTTTATATACAGAGGAGTTCATGGTTGACTCAGTGACTGTGAGATGCCCAGGTCCTGTGGATGCAAAACAAGCCCCCATCATCACCGCTCCACCTCCGTGCTTGACAGTTGGTGTGAGGCGTTTGTGCTGAAATGCTGACTTTCAATCCTTTTAAAAGGAGTTTTTGGTTACGTTGTTATTATAAATCATGAAGGTGTGATTTGGACCTCTGTGGGTCTTAGAGGTACTCTGTGACACCAGTGTGAGTCCACGATAGCGCCCTCTTTGTGCTACATGCACAGAGAATCACTACGTTTAGTGAGAGCTGATCTAGATCTAGATTTAGCTTGACCATGTGTGTGTGTGTCTGTGTTTATATGTCTTTGTGGGGATCAAAAATTGGAAGTTTACTACACTTGTGGGGACCAACAGCCCTTATGGGGACCAAACTCTCGGTCCCGGAAAGTTTGAAGGCATTTTTGAGACTCAAAATGTGGTTTTAGTGTCAGGGATACAATTAGGTTATGGTTAGGTTTGGTCTGAGGGTTAGGATTAGGGTTAGGGAGTCATTGTTGATGGTTAGGGTAAGCGGCTAGTCAATTAGATGTCCCCACAAAGATATAAAAACATATGTGTGTGTCGTTTTTAGTGCAGTAATGTTTAATACATGTTTTTTGTTGCGTAGTTCATGCCCCTGTTCCTTAAATATACTGACTACACTGATCCGCTACATTTTACATGGTGCAGTGTTACAACATAGTTCAGTTTTCTCTGTAAAATAAAAACAAATACCGAAGTTGCATTTATGTTTAGTAGGTCTTCATAGAAATGAGTTTTAGATTAGCTAAAAAGATTTTTAAGTAGAGGAAACACTGATTTGACCTGCGCCGTCCGCTTAAAACACATTGTCTTTAAATACTGCGTCACGTTGTTGCTCTTAACACATCCTGTTGTCAGGGCTCGACAAAGCTGTCTGCAGCTTTGAAGACCTGATCAATATCCAGCAATAGTTCTGTCTATGCTGTTGGGTTCAAATCAGCCAGGTACCTGATAAAGTATAAAATTAAAGAATTTAAGCACTAATAGATTTAATATAAATATAGATGGTTCGTGGGGTTTTTTTGTGTAATCAGTTTGAAGTCACATGTATAGCTTTTGTCCTTAGATAACAGAAATAATAGCTAAAGATTATTAAAAAGTAAAATTACACACTTATATTATGACAAATGTTTTTTCTAAATGCTAAAAACACCCTCTATGGTATAAAACTCCCGTGCGCAGTGACAGAACGTTGGCAGGTCACCATGTCCTCGGGTTAAGCTAGAGGCCATGGGGCCAGCAGGAGGACAGGCTGAAGGAAATCCTGCTTGAAAACACACAGGAAGACCACCTCCGTCTGTCTATCTGTCCACCCCGCTGCAGTCAGGTGGCGATAAGAGAGCCAACGCTCTCGTCTCAGCCAAGAAAAAAATACTTCAGCTATGCAATCACTAGCAAGCGGCGTAATCAGGACGATCAAACTTTGATGTTTGTTTACGCTGCTCTTACTGAGCATGAGAGCAAAAGCTGTGAAGTAACTATTTCATCTGTAATGTCGAGATCATACAAAAAACAACCAAGATCTGAAGTAGTGACATTTCTACTGTACCATAAAGGCTTATACTTCTAGTTCTACATACCACGTATAGCTGTCCCATTGATGTCTTCAGATTTATTGGGTAACTGGGGATAATAAAGAGGCCAAAGAAGGGCTTTAAGTAAATAAACAGTGCAAGCTCAAAGCAGAGGAAAAGGGCTGGAAAATCAGGATCAGACAACACTAATTATTTTGCTTATGCTCTGATCTTTTATCATTTCACTGATTACAGCCTTTGTGGGTCTCTTGGGATGTTGCCGTCTTACCTCACTGCTTTCTATTAGTGTAATCTCCCATTCTTCATGTTTCTTGCAACATCTTACATCTGTTTATTATCGGACTGCTGCTACTGCTGCTCATCACACTAAACCTGAGGTGTGACTTTGACCAGAATAAATCACCATCTGAACAGATAGATTCTTATAAACCACGTAGCTTAGTTACTTGAAGCATTGATATACTACCTTTTTGCACTAGTGCTCATTGGTGGCTGTGGTGGTGTAAACAAAGAGCAATCTAAAGCAAACTTGAATGCGTTCTCTGTGTGACTTGTTGTCGTATAATCTGTGAGGAAAACCTGGCAGGTCTGTTATTGCTTTGTGCTGTTTCCTGCTCTGCTATCTCTTAGGTTTTTCTGCTTGTGCAATCTCCTTCCTTAGTTTATCCTGGGTTCTGATGTCCAACTGGAAACTTTTAGATTACTCTAGCCGTATTTTTTCACACGCTTGTCTAACAATAGCAAGCCCGAGGTGAGGACGTGAATAACAAAGCTGCGCCAAACATATGTCACAGCCAAAGGATATGACTGTTTTTAAATGGTTTGAAGGAGGGTTGTGACATATTTTAGAGCGGTGAGGTGGCTGAATGTGTGCTATAAATAAGAAGAGAGGCGCAAGAAGATGGTTAGCGCAGACGGATCATCAGAGAGGTTCAAGCTGTTGTATTCAGAGGTGCAGCTAATGAATACTTTGAAACAAGCTGGACACAGCTAACACAAAAAAGTGTGTCTTGCTCCTCCATGTGTGCGCTCACATTAATGAAGGCTTTGACAGGATTTATGTGGCGATTGATTTTTCGGCAAATTGTGTCACAGAGAGCTCTGTGTTTCAAATCAAATATAGAAAAGGTAATATATTTATATTTTATTTTTTTTGAGGTAATAAATATGTTTCAGTGGATTTTTTGACCAGTGTTGATACAAAGTAGCAAACCTAAAAGCCTGGCGATACATGATGAGTATCATGACAGTGGCCCAATTTTCCAAACTGTGTTAGCTGCAGGTCCAGCAGTGTAGAACCGACTAACTAGGATCTATAAGATATACTTTAATGCATCAACAACACATTCCCAAGTTTGTGCTGCTATAACTTCACTGCGCAGCTTCCTTCAGTGGTATTATTGAGAAACATTTGCATTCGAGCACTCGATTATTATAAGAATTAACAACAAGTGGTGCTTAGAGTGGAATAAATAAATAAATACAGTTCAAAAACAATTAATGGAAGACTTGGAAAACAATTGAGATCTCAGTGGGGTAAAAAAAAATCATGCTGAATATCTGTTCTGATATGGACCGAATAATGAGTTAGGTGTCAGGTTTCGGAAAGCAGGAACCAAACATAGGACCTTCTGAGTTGGCGACAGTGATATCACATAGTTTGATGGAAATGGCTTGTCATGTCTTTTATCTTGTCTTCCTTCTCTCACCCCAACCGGTCGCAGCAGGTGGCCCCGCCCCTCCCTGAGCCTGGTTCTGCCGGAGGTTTCTTCCTGTTAAAAGGGAGTTTTTCCTTCCCACTGTTGCCAGAGTGCTTGCTCATGTGATTTTTTGTCCATGTATGTGTTATTGTAGGGTCTACCTTACAATATAAAGCACCTTGAGGCGACTGTTGTTGTGACTTGTTGCTGTATAAATAAAATTAACTTGCATTGAATTGAACTGAAATGTAAATGATCAAGCTACAGAAGGCTGAATTTAAAGACACCCAACAATCTCTGTCGGGTCAGTTCATTCTGCAGAAATTTCATCACAGCAACTCAAAATAATACTCAGTAGTTTGAATGTAATGCATCCTCCAGGAACTGCCTGCATGCTCTTGTCACATGAGCCCAGATATTGTCGTGCACTAGGAGAAACCCAGGACCCACTGCACCAGCATAGGGTCTGACCAATCTCTCCAAGGATTTCATCCTGATACCTAATGGCAGTCAGGGAGCTGTTGCCCCCGTTGCCCAGCCTGTAAAGGTCTGTGACATGCCTCTCCAGATCATCACTCACCCACCACACAACTGGTCATGCTGAACGATGTTACAGGCAGCATAATGTTTCCCATGGGTTCTCCAGACCCTTTCACGTCTGTCACATGTGCTCATGGTAAAAATGCTCTCATCTCTGAAATACACAGAGCTCCAGTGGTGGACCTGCCAATTCTGGTATTCTCTGGAATATGTGACAGTGAGCACAGGCCCCACTAATTCAATTCAATTCAATTTTATTTATATAGCAACAAGTCACAACAACAGTCGCCTCAAGGCGCTTTATATTGTACAGTAGATCGTACAGTAATAGATACAGAGGAAAAACCCAACAATCATATGACCCCCTATGAGCAGCACTTTGGCGACAGTGGGAAGAAAAAACTCCCTTTTAACAGGAAGAAACCTCCGGCAGAACCAGGCTCAGGGAGGGGCGGGGCCACCTGCTGCGACTGGTTGGGGTGAGAGAAGGAAGACAGGATAAAAGACATGCTGTGGAAGAGAGACAGAGGTTAATAACAGATATGATTCAATGCAGAGAGGTCTATTAACACATAGTGAGTGAGAAAGGTGACTGAAAGGAAAAACTCAATGCATCATGGGAATCCTCCAGCAGCCTACACCTATTGCATAACTAAGGGAGGATTCAGG